AACTTTCAAAATTAAAATAAAAGAGAACATATTCTGACATTCTAAACATTAGACTATAGTGATCACTATAAAATAATTAAAAAAATGACAAATCACAGTTACTAAATAAATGACAGCTGCGTGGAAATAAATTGACTTTTTGTTGAAATAGGTGAACGCGTCGGGTCACGACGAGGGCAAGTGCATTAAAAGCGGCGTTTAATTGGATAACAAAAATAATCGAGATCGACACACATACAGATAAATTCAGACGTGATTCGAGTTAACGTGATCCATGGCGTGATTGTCATAATTATAACATCATATTAAAACTTTATTAGGTGGAAACACATCGACCAAGCCTGAATTCTTATTTCATAAATTATTACGCAGATCAAGCTGCAAGCATGGAGGTAAAAAAAGAACAGAGGTGTGAATTCGACATTCAACACCAATCACCAAACAATTCAGAAACTTTTAGCCTTCGAAAATGAAAACAATTAGAAGTGTGTAAGGGCTGTATAATTTCCTGTTTGTCCGACGGTTCGTTTTCGTGTCACTGTCAAAATTATTGCTACCTTTTACCTAACAGGGACTAAACGATAATCACGATCACGATCGCAAACACTTGCCGGACGTCTCTCTCTCTCTTCTAAAATCCGCCTCGGTGATTATGGGCTGGTCCGGAATCTATTTCTTTCAAAAGTGTTGCGCCAGGTTTACGTTAAGTGGCTTTCGTCCACTGATGTCGCACCTTCGGATCGATTAGAAACGTGTGAATACATACACTATGACTATACGTTTCACTGCAACTGCCCACAGCACAATACAACAACTAAAAACTCTCTCTCAAAAAAAAATAAAATAGACAAAAAAAAAAAAAGAAAAAACGCCGACTGAAAAATGTATATCGTTTAAAACTATACTGAATGACCAGTGTTATTATGGCTCGGGGGGTATGACTTCCTCTCACATTTTTGTCATTTGGTGGCGCACTTTCGGCGAGAGTCGGAAATCCGGAAACAGTCGACTGTTTCAGGATAGGTGGCCGTGGCTACAACACGAGAAATATCCCAAATTTACTTGAATACGAGTAATCATTTTTAGCAAAAAAATCAATAACTGCCCATTTCAGTGGGACACAGATCTAAAATGGGATACGTGAGGGTGGGCATTGCACAGGCACTTTAAATAATTAACATAAACACAACTTACTTCAGTTCAATGTTTTAGTGAACATTTAGAATTATTATGCATATAGCACTACAAATTAGAAACAGTCTTCTAAAAAGATCAAAGAAGAATCATAAATATTCTACTTTTGTACCATAGTGTTATTTTTTATTTATCCTGTGTTTATATGTTGTATAAGGCTGTGCTGTAACCACTTCCTATCTGAGATTTTTATAGCTGTTCAATATATTACTATAATATGGACGTCTATCATGTAAAAGAATTTACCGTATCTGACTAATCAGATGCTCAGAATAGCAATAAATAACAATACATTCAATACAGGGTCAGAAAAAAACATGTGCATCTGTTTAAGATCGTAAATATATCTGATTATCCGATTGTTGAGTTCCTGTGCACATTCAGTGCAGCTCTGTTGCCAACACGGAGATACATATGTAGCTCTTGGTTAAAATTTTCATTGCGTGGTTCTATTTCAGGTTGTATTAAATTTGATCAGTTCAACATTGAGTTCTTCTTTTCTTGCAGCAAATGAAAAACTCGTTAATGTCTCTGCGGAACAGTGCCGCCAGGAAACGTGCAGCGAGGCGAGCAGACAGTATGACTAGTAGTAACACCACCTCCAGGTCACCGTCGCCACATTCCATGGATGAGAGTGGTATTTATAGCATTTTGTATGATACTGGAAGTTTGGAGGATTCACCCAAAAATACACCAAAGAAAAAAGGGTAAGAAGTGTTGTTATTTTTTTAGAAGGGTGTTTTAAAATTTAATATTCTTACTTCATCCTGCGCTAAAAGATTGAAATTTTATTTATTTATTTCATTAATTGGAACATTGGAACAGGCAAAAATAACAATCAGAATAACCAGTGCCACTTTTGTAAATTATTACAGTTGAATAATCTACCAAAGTATACAACAAATGTGTTCCCCCAGACTCTTTATTAAGTCTAATGTAATGAATCACTTAATAATGCACCGTACGTATCATTTACGTCATTCTAATGACGATAAATGACAAGAGTGGTTCCTTTAAATTTCATTACTTGTTTCCTGAATGCAGTCGAATGAAAATGAACTGCTTTCTGTTGTTTCTCTGAAAAACAGCAAGAAAAATCCTGATTCACCATTCAGCAATAGGCCTCGCGTTGCCAGAGTGTCCACAAGCGATCGGGAAGTTTCAGATACATCAAGAGACAGCTCCAGGGACACCTTCAGGGATTCTTCCAGGGATTCTTCCAGGGATACTGATACTACCAGGGAGCTGGAACCTAACCCGTTTGAGTTCAGTCCAACTGGTGGTGTTACATTCAGGGATAAGGTCCAATCGGATGTCAGTGTGGTGGGCATGGGATATGGTAAAAATGATGTCTTCAGGACTGACTCTCCACCAATACCAACTCATCAGAAAGGGAATGCTAGAAGGAAACAAAACAAAGGTATTCAACACAACATATTATTAGACAGTCCATCTGCCAAAAAAAAATGAATGAATTTCATCGCATTTGAAAGCGCTTAATCACCCATGTGTTAGCAATAAGGCAGATTACTGGAACTGCTCCATTTTAGCTCCGTTGTTTTAGTCGACAGAGTGTAGATATTCATATTACTGATTGTTCGTCAGGTCAATTATACATTTTCATTTTATGCTAATTTCCACTACTTTCCACTACCGGGTACTAGCCCAATTCCTGATTTCAAAATTGAGCGTGTGTGAATTCATCATTTGTGTGCTTGCACATATTGCGTGACCTGAGGTCAACAAACCAGGAGGTGGGACAGATTTTGAAAATTCCAAACATGTTCTCTCAAATAAAAGTGCAATCATCTTTCAACTAGCTTCTCCATTTATACAGACCCACCCACCCACACTCTACTGTCAGTTAAAATTTTTTTCAAATATGCCGCTGACTTCTTCTGGGGTTGCATGTCTATTGTTCTTTTGAATTTTTTTTACTTCTGTCCTACCCCTCGCCCGTTGCTAGGTAGGTTACACATACACAAATAGAATTACATTGTGTCTGTTAGTAATTCGGGAATCAGGAATTAATTTGATAGTTTATATGTAGAGACCTTGAGTCAGATTTGTTAATTTTGTGACGATTACTTCAAATCTCTAATTGTATTGAATATTTTTGTCATTTTTGGTAAAAAAATGCTATTTTCAGCTGTTTAACTATACAGCAAAACTATATCAACCTACTGGCTGCTTGATTGCTTTTTAAAATGTAGTTCCAGCAGATACATTGTTATTATCTAATATTTTCCCTCTTAGAGTTGCATGTATTAATTCAGTATTTAAATGCACATACAGTCATATCATGTTTATCTCAATAATTAGGTCTATATTATTTCCACATATGACCTTGTACATGTGTATAGCTAAAGAAATCTCTCCACAAAATATAAACAACCTCAAAAGACTTGTGAAACTAAATTGAGCAACCTTAACTTAATGAAATATACTAATGAACTAACACAATGCATATTAATTAGATTACTCTTTGCTGACTTCAGAGTGAAACGACCTGCAGTAACTGTATAAAGGAAATTAATAACATTCAACAATTCATTAAATCTCATATTTACATTTTTTGTTACTGTGAAATCAATTAATTTTTTTTTATACTGTAATGCTAATAAATACGATACAATGTATAACTGCATACAATGCATATTCAAGTAATCAGACAATACCGACTACCCCTACCACGTCATATATTGAATTGTTACATTTGTATCTCTAAAAAAAACACCTGGCTGGATTGCACCTGCTTGTGTTCTATGTAGCGTGATCACTTGCTCATACAAATATGTGCATAATTGAACAACAAATTAGTATTTAGGTAAAATGGGATGCTATGCATCGCTGATCGGTTTCTATTATGTCAGATGTATTGTTTGTTATTTTGAACTATGCTGTCATAGCAGAGCTGTTCATATATACCTTGGGTGGCTTCCTCTCAAATTTGTCTGTTCAAAGTGACTGTGAGTTTCTATTTCTAGCAAATATTTTTTCTTCATTTAAAAAAAAAAAAATATATATATATATATATATATATTAATTGCCATGCTGTGTGACAGCTATTAAAATTTGTTCTGATATAAACTTTTTCAGTTCCTTTCAGTAGTGCAAAAGTTGTATTTCCAGACTTGATAAATCTGCTTTTGTTCAGTAATCATCTGCTGGATTGCATTCAAGTTCACTGTTACATTGAGATGAACTCCATATTGCAGTTTAATAGAGTTTAATGTTGCATGTACAAAGGGGAAATTTGATATTTAAATACTTCCATTATTTTGGTGACAACGCTTTCCTTTAAAACTACTTTCACTTTAGAAACTATAAAAACATAGAATGTTTTTTTTCGTCACTTAGCCAACCTTTTATTTTCTGTAGGTTTACTTGTATCACCGCTTACTATGGCCTCGTTAAACCACCCTGGAGCCGTAGATACTGATGACTTCACAGATGAAGTAGGAGTCATTGGCAAAGGTAATGTGCTGTCTTGATATCAACATTATACAGATAAAAGTGATATAGTTATCAGCTGTTGAATAAATGGTATTTGTTCGAACGAAACTAGGGTTGTGATAATTTACAAAACTTGTTCTGTGAATTTTGAATTTGAAGTGTTAATAATCCTTGCCTGTAGCATGTTTCACTGTGCTATTTTGTCCTGACCCCTGACCCGTGACCCTTGTTTCTTACACTGGATTTCCTCGAGTTGAAATATCATTGTTTGTGTTGCTGTTTGAAATGAAAAACATGCCACTTCTTGGTTGGACATGGTTAAAGTTTAAAACAAGTCACGGTGTCTCGTATCTTGACAACTTATAAGATTTCAATGACTGACTGAAGCAGACAATCTTGTCACCTCAGCCTCAATTGTTATTAGAATGCTAACAATATGGCTTCTCTTGTAACAGGGGTATTTGGTACAAGTTACGCTCCTCCCAGTCATGAGTACAGCGGTGATCGCTCCAAAAGAGGCAAAGAGCGTAAAGATTCTGAATCAGGACGTAATGGTCTTCCCCCTGGTGTATATGGCATTGGGGTTAAACAGAATAGCACTGAAGATAATGAGAGTTCTGATGATGAGGTAAGAGCACGCCTAAATATTTATAATTTTGCTTTTCGTCATTTTAATTTAATTCTGGAATGTAAACATGTGTCATTTATAACAACGTTGCTTTGGTTAGGTATTTGTAAGTACCGTCCATGCGACCAGGCCGAGATCAGAGATCAGAAGAAAACAAGCATTCATACTGCAACTCTGATGGAAGGTATAATGCACAATTTGGGGGGGGGGGATAGTTGTACACCAATAATGCCTGGTAGAAAAATGTGCCAATTTTGGGCAAGTGAATGTCAAATTCAGGCTCCTGTAGACTGGTTGTCGTATATCGTGAATTAAGTCATGCTATCACACATCTGCGTATTCACTTCTTTTGAACTTCTCAACAATTGTGTGCATATCATTATAAACAGCCTGCGGAGATTTGTTCACTCAGCAACTTTATTGAAAACAGAACTTATCCAACAAAAACAAAATGCAATGGAAAGTTAAAATTTCCAATAAAAAAAATAAATGTGGCAGCTTTCCTTCAGTAAGGTAGCTGAGGCTTCAACTGCAGCCTGTGGGTGGAAATGCTAACAAACAAATACAACCAGCTGGCAGATTTTCTAAATTAAACATTAAAAAACATACTGTAGAGGAATTGGAAACACTATATTCTACATTGTGTCTTTCAGGAACCGTCTAGCATATCCATGTCCAAGTCAACCAAGGATAAAATGGCTAGAATTCAGCAAGAGAAAAAAGAAGAACTGGAACAACGAAAAGCGGAGAAGCAAGCAGAGAAGGAAAAACAACAGAGGGACAGGGAGAAGTGGCAGAAGCAGCAGGAAAAAGAGAGAATTAAAGCCAGAGAACAAAAAGAAAAGATTAAAAAAATGGATAGTACATCTGAGGAGATTGGGCTTGACAGTGAGTCCTTTCATGTAGATTTAATAATGTCCTGTTTGACGCATTGGGTGTCAATTTCATTCATTTTAAGGGATGACTCAGATACAGTTTTGTATACATCTACCGACGTAGATGTCGCAACCTCTTTATTTGTCATTCAGCCATCATGTATTTATTTTTTCAAATTCTTTTCTGATTTTGCCCACAATAGCCATACTTGACTGAAATGAAATGTTTCTTTACTTTTCAGCATTAACAATATCTGGTTCAGGATCTAATACTTTAAACACTTCAACAACAAAGTCCAAAGTTATTACTGGAAAACCACCTGTTGCAACAACGCCAAAGAAAAAATCATATAAATCGTGAGTTGACCTTTGTTATGTTTCACGTATATTGTATTTTCTTTTTTTTTTGAATACATTTCTCTATTATTTACTTTGTTCAGGTATAAACATGCCCTCCAACTCCACAACTAGGCAGGGATTAGTTTCATTTCAGTATTGTCTTGTATACTTTCACATTATGTATTGCTTGTACTGTCCTAAAAAAAAAAGCTTTTCAAAATTGTGAAACTTAAGCATCAACATAGTAACGATGTAGCGTACATGTGTGGGCACTTCTTTCATTTTATCCTGCATATATGTGGTGGAATATTTGACCCCGTCTGAACTCCAAAGGTCGTCAGTGTGTACGTTTGGCCATCACCAATCAGATAACATATTTACAGTGGCTTTTGTACCTAGTGACTGCCAAACTAAATGGGTTTCTCCGTGTCCAATCTTTCTAGCCCAAGTAGTGATGCTTCAATGGAGACTACGTCAACGCCGAAAAACTCATCAAAATCAAAATTGAACCGCAGTTCGTCACAGCATGACCCTGATGATGATGGTGAAGAACTGAAGCCGTTTACAAACCCGGAAAGCTCGCTACGAGACTGTCTGAGATTCATGAATCAAGATGATTGGTGAGGGGATTTGAAAATCCATTTTACACATTAACATTGAGTTAAACTGTCAGTTCCACTCCTTTGTCAACTTACATTGTACTGTGCTCTGTGTGTATTGCAAAATGAACTTTAAACTGTTATACACAGAACTTGGGACATATTAATTCTGTACTCAAACATTTGAGGCCTGAAAATCTTTGACTGTGGCATTTATTGAGGAAAGGCGATGTTTCATTTCTATGTATATTTCATTCAGGGAGGTCAAATTGGACGGCATTCGCTATGTAAGAAGATTAACGATATTCCACCCTGATGTACTGAATTTACAGTTACACACAGTCATAGTGGCATTGTTAAAAGAGATCAAAAATCTCCGTTCATCAGTATCTAGAGCTGCCATCTGTACTGTAGCAGATATGTTCACGCATCTTAGGTCAAGTTTAGACAAGGTTAGTAGGTTTTGTTATTTTCATGTTTATTTTTATGTGACTCTTGTTGCAATCGTATTGTTACTTCATCTGGTGTGTATGCACAATCAGTGGCACCCCTTGAACTGTCTGAACTATTTAAATCTGTTGAGGGAGAGTTACTATGGCAGTGACCTTTTGTTGACCTTTAAATCGTGTCATCATGTAAAATATAATAATACAGAAACTTTATGATGTCTTTTATGACTTAATATTTTGTCATGACTTATTAAGTACTAACCAACTAAAGATCTCTTTGGCCATCAATTTTATTTACCATTTTTCCCCCGTCTTTTAAGGATATGGACCAGCTATGTAAGGTTCTCCTGCATAAAGCGGGAGAGAGCAATGGATTTATCCGGGAAGATGTTGACAAGTCTCTCGCAGCAATGGTGGAGTCTGTTACTCCGCAACGTGCACTTGTAGCTTTGGTGGCGGGAGGTGCAAGGTGAGGCAATCATGTTGTATTTCACGCGACATTAGTCTTGTCTAATCGCCTTGAATTAGGGCTTTTTTATAGCTCTTTATGTACTGTAGTTGTGGCATGCCGCAACAATTTGAGTAATTTGCATATAGCTTCTATTGAGGTCAACGTGTGAAGTGATATTTGCATTGCCATGCAATATATTGAAATGACTTGGGTAGCTGTGTTGTATTCAACAATTATTTTAGTTTGTTCAATTAATTTTTTTTAATGAGCTGATTGTTTCTTTGATTGTGAATACCCAACTATTAATAATACAAATAGATGGAAGCTAGTTTGGGAGTTGGTGTCTCATTACGTCAATATATAAATCTATACTCAGTATTTGCTCTATTAGTGTGTTTACATAAATGAGAGAGGAGTATCTATGGTCAAAACCAGTTGTAATTTAGTGAAAACATTACATGCACTGTTTACGCTTCTCTTTAAGATACACTTCTATCAATTGAAAACTAGCTCGTAGAAGTTTTGACGGGGTGTAAGGATAATCATCACTATAAATGCATTTATTTTATTTGCCTGCAGTCATCGTAGTATAGCAGTAAGGAAAACATGTGCCCAGTTCTTGGTTGGCGTTGTGGAGAGAATGGGACCTGGCAGACTTCTAAGCGGTATCAAAGACATCACTGATAAGATCGTACCTACGGCCGCACAATTCTGTGTGGATGGATCGCCAGAAACGAGGTGAGTATAACCAGTAATCGTTGTCTCCACTCAGACAATGTCCACATAGTGTTAGTAATGAATACTGAATGAATGAATGAATGAATGTTTGTTTGTTTGTAGATTTTTGAGTTTCTCCTTCTCCACATGTAATCATTGAAGAATGTCACAAGTAAACTGTGTTCGTGTCTAATTCATTATAATAGACCATGCTTTTCAAAACCTTTGTCATTCTGACTTTATTTGTGGGGTTGTTTGTTTTTTGCATTATAAATTGTTTTGTTTTGTTGACTGAGTACCCACTACACAAGACAGTCTATGTGATGTTTGGTTGCTACGTGTGTGGTGAATTTCCATCTAATGTCATCTGGAGATGATAGATAAATAACCTATTAGTCATAGCTATTGTAGAATCATAAATTAAGACCAGCTACTATAGAATCATATCTTTTTTACCAAATACTACTAGAACCATTAAATTTATATCAACTACTGTAGAACTGTTAAATTTATAGTTGTATTAATATCTGTTGAATCATTAAATTTACACTAACTACTGTAAAATAATTACATTTACACCAATTACTGTAGAATAATTAAATTTACACTAACTACTGTAAAATAATTACATTTACACCAACTACTGTAGAATAATTACATTTACACCAACTACTGTAGAATAATTACATTTACACCAACTACTGTAGAATAATTACATTTACACCAACTACTGTAAAATAATTACATTTACACCAACTACTGTAGAATAATTAAATTTATATCAACTACTGTAGAACTGTTAAATTTATAGTTGTATTAATATCTGTTGAATCATTAAATTTACACTAACTACTGTAAAATAATTAAATTTCTTCTAACTACTGTAGAATAATTAAATTTATACCAACTACTGTAGAATAATTAAATTTATACCAACTACTGTAGAATAATTAAATTTATATCACAAAAATCATTAAATTTCACGATTTAGCATGTGATGTAAATTTGTGCATATCACATTTTTAAAATCAAAACTTATCTCAAAAATAAATTCCAGCTCTATTTTGCTGACCGAGATATGAAAGTCACAACAATGGCAGTTAACAGGAACCTACAATTTGGCAGCACAAAATGCGTACCTGTTTTAAACATCGTGACTTTTTTAGTTCATGAAAAATCGCAAAAAAGTGTCACAATCAAAAATTTGAATGGTTTGATATTTATCTTGTTTTATATTTTTAGGTATTATGGTCGCAAGATTATGTATAAACTGATGAACCATGAAGACTTTGAGAAATTATTAGCTAAATATGTACCCCACAAAGACTTGAGACAAGTTAGAGAAATTCTAGAAAAACTTCGAGTAGATGTAAGTAACATAACGTATGTAGAGTGGTTGCAGTGCTCCTTGAAACATGAATATTTTCTTTAATGGAGTGCATAGAAAGTAGTACACAAAACACTTGAGTACAGATGCTATAGTATTTCTAGTACTTTTATCTTGGTGACTTAAGATATGATGTCTCAACTTTGAGAGCAATGCTTGCTATTTGCTTGGCAGCACTATACCCAAATTTGATGATTTATTGTTGTCTCATTTTATTTCTAACAGCAAACATTACCTGAATTAGAATTGTATGCAATCTGTTCACTTCGATCAATAAGTGTCTAGTAGTTGTTTTCAATCATCCATTTTCTATTGCTTGGGTTTTTTTTAGTCCCTGTGTAGAGACTTAAAATTCGGTCTCAGCCTATCCGTCTCGAGTCATATCTCAGAATCCTCTGGATCAAATTTGTTCTTTCTTTGCATGTGCCTAGTAATTTATGTGAGGCATATGCACATGCTGTGATTTAGTGATTCGACCTAAGATGGCTGACTGGCAGCCATTTTGTTCTTTGAAAATGTGTTATCTTGGACATGCTGAGGTGTGGGTGTCAGTAAACTTTAACTGACACTCCAAGTTGTATATTCTCAAACATACATTGTATGTTAGTCAATTGCTACACATTTATATTTGACTTGTGCTTTGTTCTCATCAAGTTGTAAAGTGCTTTAATTTCCTGATATGGAACATTGTTAAGAAGATTCTCATTGGGTAACACTGTAACAAATAAGCCGGTACAATTTACCTGGTCATATGACCAGTAATTTGCATATTCATGTAGCAATACGTGTTCATAACAATTCAATTTGAGATCCCATGGCCAATTTACTTTATTTTAGGCATAAATAACATTTCTCCAAGTTGCAACAGAGACTGTGTCATTAACAATGACTTGTTCATCATATTTTAGGGTCTTGGAGAAATGCCTTCGGAAACACCATCTGCCAGAGCCAGGCGCACATACCCAAGCAGTGGCAGCGGAATGAGGACTAATTCTGGCTCTCGAGAAAAGATAAACTCTGCCGGAAGGTATGCCCTCTTCCTTTCACCTCTTATAAAATAACATTGTGTTGAATTGAGTCATAAGGTGTAATAGAAGATTGAGCAATTGAACATAAGAATAGTATACAGTTACATGGACACCACGGATCCCTAGCGAAACTAAGCACTATCAAACTGTTTGAACTGCACTTGTACAGTCCTTGTAACAATGCATAGTTTAGTATGTATTACTTTACACAATAGTTCAATCACTCATAAGACCAACTGAAAACTTGTCTAAAACTGAACATTTTTTCCCAGTTCCACTCTATAAAAATTAATATTAACTGAACGCATCTGTGAAGCAAAAAATGTACAAGAATGAATTATTTTGCATTGCATTTTAACACCCACCTACTCTAACCATGTTTTTTTGCAGACTGTTCTCTTAATTAAACCCCTTCCCTATAACATAAAAATTAACATAATTTAAACAAACTTTTGATTCGTATTCGTGGATTAATGTTCAAGAATGATATTTTCTTTTGTAACCGTTGTTGTTGACGAGCAAACATCAGTGAATTATCAGGATGCATGGTTTTCAAAATACTCTTGTGAGTAGCAGCTGGCATTGCTTTACACACGGCTTACATGATTGAGCGCTGACGTAATCTTTACTCTTTTTCCAAAATAGCAATGCTGACCCTAATGGCTTGACACCACCTAGTTCGACAAGGAAGATACGCAGATCACCACGCATGGATGAGGCCAGCATGGCAACTGTACAAAATCTTTGCTCAGGCTTATCAGCAAGTGATTGGCGAGATAGGTATAAGGCTGTGCAGGATTTCCTAGATATGACAGCTCACAATGTGGATCTGGTTGTGTCGAATATTATTAAGGTATAGTTGATGTCTGCTTGTTAATGCCCGCAAGAAAAAAACAAATCATTTCAGAACAGTGTATGCGTCAGTTCAAAAAGAGGACTGGGCCACTCACATTTCTGGTTTCTGCCATTATAAAAATAAAGGAAAATGCAAACCAATTAGTATTGAATTAATCAGCTCAATTAATTTGCAAAGTTAGCAATCAATTAACACAGGGGAGCACATCAAGTTCATGTCTTGTATGAGCATCTTAGGCTCAAGCACAATTTTTATTGTTCACGCTAATAGTTTGTAAGCTAATAGATATCATGTCATGTGCTAATACGGTATTGAAAACTTCTGATATGTTGTGATCATTTAAAAAAACATATTGTACATAAAACAGAATGAAAGTGCAGTGATTAGTTACTTGTACTAGTAAGATAGCTTGAACTTTATGAATTCATCAAAGGCAATTGATTGGCCAATAACTATGCAAATTAGCTTAAAAAAAGTGGACATTGTTTTTTCTTGTGATGGTAATTCATTCATGTGAAATGGATTTGAATATTAAGTTATGCTAATCAGCTTTGATAATTAATTAAATTGTCAACTTAAATTCCTAAAAATGGATGGATTTATATTATATTTTTCCTGCACACGTGTTGTTGATGACTATCAAAATTATATATTTGTTTTATTTTCAGATCTTCGATAGCTACACACCTCGGTTATCTGATTCTAATAGTAAAGTTAATTTAACAGCGTTAACTGCCATGTTACAAATTGTGCCAAGATTGCGAGAATATATCGGTGCTGTGATTAATTCTGTTGTTCCTGTTCTGGCGACCAATTTAGCTTCAAAAAATGCTCAGATCCATCAAACAACCCTGAGTGTTCTTGACTCTCTCGTGGAGCATGTGGGTAAGTTGGTCTTAATTTTAGTGATGATGATTAACAACGTCATTGCTTCCAATATTGAGAATGATTCTGGTTTGTTAATGAAGTCGGTTGCCGAACAACTCATCCTAGTCAAATTTGGTGTCTGCGTCTGTTTATTAATTAACCATTCACCAATCACGTGTCATTCTATATAACTAAAGTCAACCATTTGTTCAAACTTTGGCAAAATATTGTGTAATTAAACAGTAGGTTTACTAGTAACTATCACTATACAATATGGTTTTGCACGTGTCATGACGTGTTCATGAAAAACCATAAATTGTATGTGTGTTTTCATCATGTTCCTAATAATGTTTAAGTAATCTTCTCTTGCAGAGAATTCTCTGTTGCTGCAGCCTTTTGCGAATGTAGCGCAGTATGGTAACGCAAGAATCAAACCATGTATGATTGACAAGCTAGCTTGTGAGTATGACAATGTTCATTTCATAAAATGTAGCTTCATTTAAGATTAGTCATTATAATGAATGATTCATTGTGAACTTCAACATTTTACCAAAAACTACTCTGTCAACAACACTGAATTCCACTCTTGTTTTCTACTGAGTATATTATTTATGATGTAATCATGTCAATTTCAAACAATGATGATTTTTTTTTCAGATCTAAGTACCAAAGTTTACCCGCGCAAACAGCAGACTGTGGTACGTCAGGTTCTACCAGTATTATGGCATTTACTTAGTAATACATCCGGCAGTGGTGCTGTCCCCGGTGGTACGGGCAACATACGCACAGCAACAACCAACTTGGCAAACACCTTGTTTGCTCTTATGGGACAATCACTTCTTGATCAAGCACAATCAGTTTTGACTCCTAGAAATTATAAAACTTTGCAAGATATGCTCGAGAATCAGTAGAGAGGGAAAAAACAGGCATAGTGTGCCTGTTTGGTACATAGGATCTATTAAAGTAGCTGCTGTAGTTTTCCGATCTCTAATTATGTTAATGCTGGAAATTCAATTTTTTCACTCATTTCCAAGTGTTGTGTGTGTGTTGGTTCTAAATGAAGAACCATACTTTTCAAAAAAAAAAAAAAAACTTTTTTAACAGAATTGAAATTATTGGTATTATTTCAGTCTTATTAGTTTTTTGAAGAATTCTACTGAAAAAACAAAAACAAAAAAAAACACACCAGTAAACAGACTTGCAGTGTTTTGAAATAATATTCACTTTCTGTGGTAGGAGGCAGTTTTTTTGTTTCAGTGAGGGAGGGAAGTTCAAAAGACGATTTTTGAAAGAAGTGCTTTCACTGAATGTACAATGTTATATAGTAAATATATACACATAGTATGTATGTGTGTTTGTATGTATGTAAAAAATGATAATATTTGTAAATCTTTGATTTTTTCAAAAATTGTAAATTTAGAGTGACAAAACAGTATTGGAACCTATTTTGTTTTGAGCGTTTTGTTTGTTTGATGAGGGTTCTGATGGCTCGACACTGATGTTATGATGTCTATATTATAGTGGCAAAAAGGGAAGTGCTCAGTTGCTGACTGTCTGTGCGCAATCAACAACGTGGTTTTGATACTATTTGGAATATTTTTATTTTTGTAAATTGTATCATATTGACGATCTTAGGGTTATACTTTGTGTAGATAGCGTGTTCATTTTTTGACATTACAGTACGTTACTGTCTTTGTCATTGTAATTTGTTGAAATCATTGGATTTGATTCCATGCACCGGCTTCTGTTTGGTTTTTGGAATATTTTGAAATTTACATTGCCTGGTGTGTTTTCTTTTTCTCCCTTTCCCCCCATCAATGAAAACCAAATCCCTCCATAGCTTTGAATCTTACAGTTAGTCATTCCATCCATATGTGGGTGCCATGCATAAATAGTACACTGGAAACAGTACTTTAATGTCCGTCCATGATTACTGTATGTTTTTCAGAAATGAATAACTGTCATCTTTGCTGGTGACCAGTATTGTAACCATTTTGAGAGTTTTATCTTAAAAATAAAAAGCCTTCTCAGCTATACAGTTTATATATCTTTAAAAAGAAATCTTAAAATTGAAAATCTGCGGATTGTTGTCATGATTTTTTTTTTCTGGTTTTACATTCCATCCATTTTTCTGAAATGTTTTTAAATTTAAAGAAAACCGTAATTCTAATATTCTTCTCAGTGTACCGGGTATTTGTGTTCAAATACTGTAACTTGTAGTACATGTAGTATTAATAATAAGTCAAATTAATGATATTTACAATAGCACATAAGTACTTAATCTGTTATGTGTCTATGTTATATTCCATGAATAGTAACCATAGTAACTATATTTTCAATTTCTTCATCTTCCTGGCTGATATCTCTATGCAGCCTTTTCTTATTTTTAACTAATCTTGCTTCCACACTACAGTCTTTTTTTTTGATCTACTCATGTGTAGTTTCCATGCAGTAGTTTTACAATTGTTTTTTCAAATTAATATCACTTCGTTCTGTTTTCGTTCCAATATTCCTGAGAATATTTATCGCGATACTTCCTATTGACATAGATGATTGAATGACGCGTGTATTTATATTTGATATTTTCGTTTTCGTCTGCATTTTTTTTTCAAGTTTATGCATGAGATCAGCCATTGTATACGGAATGGGTGTGTCTGTTGAAATCTTACCCTTTTCCGAAAATGACCCTGCTTTTCACCTTAAATGCCATGGCATATGAACCAATTTATTGTTTTCCCGGGTCAGACATGCTCACGCTATTATTATGGACGTTGATTTGACCGACCTACTTTGCATTCCTTTGAATTGAATTGAATTGATTTTTTTTTTTATAATTTTCTTTTTGTGTCTCTATGTTTGTTTTTATAAAAATGTTATTCAGTGAATGCTGTTAATATTGTACGTATTGTTCTGCTAGCTCCATTGAATGGCCGTTTTATAAAATCGTATTTGGTTTCCCAATCTGAATGCCACAGTTGAAGGTGTCGCTGATGACCTAATCAGTATGTTATCAGTCAAACAGCTTATTCTCATTAGAGACCTCCGCCCTTCAGCAGAGTATACAAAAGGGTGTGGTTTTATATTAATCCTAATATCATATATCTTTATTGTTTGTGCCTGCACATCAATGGATATCACATATTCAAATCAGTTTGATAAACTTGTTTATAGTTTTATACTTTGATCCCTGGGCAGCAAATTATCTGAATATCTGACAACATGTTAATTAATTTAGTGAATCCATGTTGTTATTCGTAACACTGCATGATAACCAGAATGTTATTTCTCCACAAGTGCCTCAAGTATATAAAATAAATGGCAAAACACTAATTGCTTAATTTATGATTGGTGTACAATTTACATTCTTGGTGCCTTTATTGGCAAATTGCTTGCATAATTTTTGAATCAGACATGCTTTCTGAAACAACATGGAATCATGAAAATGAATATCCTGGCTTTCAAATTAACAACAATCTTACTTGCAACTCTCCATGTGGCTGCTTGGATCAACATTTTTCCTCATAGTCAAGGGTAAAAACTTAACTGCCCAGAATGTTGTGAATGAATTTTATACAGCAATGTTTTTAAGCTATCTGAATGATAACGTATTGAATGAACCTGCGCTTGGCTCGGAGGCACCCTTGCTGATTTCTTGAATGAACCTCCGTTGTACATGTAGTTATTTCATCTGTGTTCATGTATATTATAACTACTTCTAGTGGACATGGAATGTCTGCTGTATTTTTATGAGCTGTTTATTAAAAGTAACAAACAAAGCATTTATGGTTGTATTATTCTTTATTTTTTTGCGTTTTAACTTTATATACTGTAGTTGATACTCCATCCTTGGAGGGGATGTAAAAATACTACCAATACACATTTCTATTCCGAGGAGAAATCAGGTTGAAGATGTAATATATAATTATTTTCTTTGATATTTTATCTTTGTGTTATATAGAGGCCAACTTGAATCAGGAGAGTAATTTTAAAATGATAAAAAATTGAATGTGGCTTCCATATAGTAAATATTGGTAAGTTAATTGTATTTTATTACCACTTTTACGCCAGCTGATTGTGGGTGGAACATCTGGGCATCGTGTACGATAATGTTGTAAACAACATTATTGTGTATTTTACCACTAGAGGGCGGTGTTACACATGCCTAGTACAAATGGTTATCTTTGTTGAGATTTCCCCTTCACTGGGTAATATGCCAAGGTTTTTCCCAGATAAAAAAATCACACTTGATTGTATCACTTTTATTATCCTGATTCTCGTTTTGATGCGGAATAAGCGATCTGTAGACGTTTTGCCTGCATATTATGTTGTCTTTGTATTTGTTGATTTCTTATTTTACAACATGTGGGCTGTCATTACCAACACTTTAAAAAAATACCAGCAAATAAATAAAATAAAATGTCTGAAAACAATATTTAAATAGAGATTTAAAAAATATATTGTACTAAAATTAAGAATATGATTTCAGGTAATGCTGATGCACAGCGGGCTTCTGTTTGGTGGAGAATGTTATAACAATTACTTACATCACACTTGTTAAGTCCGAGTTTCCAATCTTGACACCAGAGGGCGCAGTGATTCCGGTCAGCTTGTTAATACCTTGTTGTCAGTGTATATCATTGATTTACATGATATGTATTAAACGGGGCCTAATAAAGATTCACGGAGAACAACTTTCCATGTTGTCTGTTTGGTAGAGGTGAAATCATGATTTAAAGGGCGATGGTCGTTGCGCCGCGTCCTCTTCAACGAAATGTTTTTTTTTTGCTTGGTTCACCGTGAACTACCGATGATTATAACACGTAACATTGGAGTAAATAACACCCGGGCCGAAATACTGTTCTATAAGATAATTGTGTACATCCTTTCAAATTATTCAAAACGTTCCAAGAAAGACCAGTTTTGCATTTTTATCGGTAGTTTGTGTTTTAGTATGTTCTACTTGCTCGAGATTTAAAATAATATTTATATTAACAGTGTGATCTCAAGGTAGTATGAGCATAGTACTAGTATTCAGAGTGCGCATAAACCTGCACATTTATAGCATGAACAATAATAATAATACCAAATCGCCTGACTAGATTAAGCGCCTACGTTGATTACAAAATATTGCATACAACCAACCAACCAACCAATCACATACATTGAATCGTGATCACCCTACCCATACATCATGTCTATCATGATATTTATTGTGGGTAATTTAAAGTACGGTAATCGTAAACATATACCGTTGAGGGCAGCATACACAGCTTGTATGCAAGAGTGGGAGCGTGCAGCAGCAGTGTTATGTATTGCACTACCCACAGACAGTTTGAAATTTACACTATTTTGTAACACAATGCCAAGGTAATTTTATGAATTAACTACTAGTACCTGAATTTGAATTTAAAAATAGGTTTTCCCTGCTTATTAAATATAATATATATACATGTGTATTTACTTGTAATTTCCACTTTTTACAGTAATTATTAAGATGATCTATTTTCAAGCCCATTACTAGAATTTGACACTATTACAATATTATCTGCAAATGAAACAAACAGTTGAATAAATTATTATCTTAGCTAACTAGATTAGAAATAATGGTATGAGAAAGATCGTTGATAAATAGGTTGATTAGAAGGGGACTTAAATTACATCCTTGTTTCAACCCACAAGATGATGAAAATGAATAGATGCAACCACAAGCAATTATGATTGCGTATTTGGTTACAGAATACATAGATCTTATCAAGTGGAACAGTTTCCCTGTAACTACAGCTTTCAGTAAGTTGTATAGCATGCCATCTCACCAAACACTATCAAAAGCACAGATCAACAAAACAAATCAAAATACTATCTGTAGTACGATGGTTTTTATGAAAACAGAATAAAAAAATTTTAGTAGTTG